TTCAGTTGAGACGTGGACGGGTCCTCAGAAAAGCAACATTTCCTGCAAATGTCGAGTATTCGGCTTAAAAAGTGACATTTTCAGTTGAGAATTAGTTTGGGATGCAAACAGATCTCTAGAAATATTTTGTTGGGTTAATGTTGTTCAAGAACGATATAAAACGATTTAATCGACCAGTGCTTGACACTAGAGACATCTATTGGAAAACGGCGGAAGCAAAGTTGTAGACCTATACAAAAAATTTAGTCTAATTCAAGAAACTCATATGTCTGTAAACAAAATTCATTGAAAAAAAAGAAATAGGTCTTCCAATGCATTTCTGTCACTATTAACTACTCTTTCTTAGAAAATATTGATGAATGTCCGTTTTACGGCTATCTCAGGTGAACAAATATTAGAAACCTTTTACTTGTCGTTATGCTTTTGTTCAATAAATTAAGATGGATGTCAGCTCTACGGTGTCTCTTCAAACTTTCATAGAAATTCTTCTTGATTTTTAAAAGTTTTCTGAGTCAGTATTTCTTTTGCTCTCTCTCTTTCTCGCTCCCTACTTTTAATAAAACACCAACTTCTAACTCCTACTTTCAACATTCTAACTTGAAAATGACTCGATTTTCTATTTTGTGTATATTGAAGCATAACATCTGTTGTCCGGCAAGTATATTCATACAATAGAAGAAATATATATTACATGGTAAACGTAGAAACTTTTTTTCTTTCACCCCAGCCTACTAATATTACATAAGTTCAAATCATCTATATTCAACTCCATATCTTTTCTCTACATCTTCACCACACTCTTTGCGCAATAGCTTGGCCTAAAATAAAAGCGAGTCATCGTGATTCATGATTATTTTATTACCAAAGGCAAAATTCTACGAAAAAGTTGAAAGCATTAATTTATTGGTATAGACTTTTTTTTACTTATTGTTACAACAACAACATTTATTAATCAGTACAATTCATACTTCTTTGGACAAAGCTCGGTTGGAAGCAATAGAAATTCTCTAAAACCAATGATTCGGCGAAAAATGTGTATTTTTGATTGCTTGCACAAAAGTTATAATTTCAATGCATAGCAGATTGCAGATGAATCAGCAAATTGATTGGCGATTACTGCGGTAGATAGTATGATTTCAAAAAATTTCGATGAAATGCTTTTTTCTTTTGATTGCTTGAAAATATATTGTGAATTATAATTACTTAAAATTAAAAACGGGAAATAAAATGTAGACTAAATTAAAAATATATTAAAATATTTTTGATATTGATATAAATGTAGAATATATAAATTTAAAAAATATTAAAAAAATGTTAACCTTTAAATAGAGTTTTTACTATTTAAACATATTTTAATAAAAATTTAACTTATGATTCTAAAACAAAAAATTAAATAAAAATTTATATAAAAATATTGAACAAAAAATTTAAAATAATAGGTTGTCAAAAAAGTCTTGCGGTATTTTTTTTTTTTTTATAACGGTTTGATGACTCATGCCCAGCACTTGACCGATGCTACGGCTGCTACTCTGCCGGTCTCTTTCGACCAATTTAGCGATTTTATCGCAATTTTCGACGACAAGCCTTCCGGAGCGTGGCGCATCTTCGACCACCTCGACACCAGAACGAAAACGTTGAAACCATCGTTGTGCGGTGGAAATGGAAGCTGTATCTTGTCCATAAACTGCACAAATTTTATTGGCGGCTTGAGATGCATTTTTGCCTTTATCGTAGTAGTACTGTAAAATGTGCCGTATTTTCTCTTTATTTTGCTCCATGTTTGCGACGCTATAACTCACGAACTACTTAAAAGAAGCGACAGTCAATCTGTATCGGGGTATCGCATGACGCGATGCGACGAATAAAACTAAAAATAACTCTAATATATTATATAACACTTAATATAATTCTTCAATAAAATAGATAATTTTTAAAAATCAAAATATAATTTTTTGAAAAAACATCATTAAAATTATTTGAAATACAACATTACAAAATCTTTCTTCTAGAAAAAAACTTATTTGTTTAAAAAAAAAGATGTCAAACGCTTTCAACTTTATTCGGTGGAATATTTTTTTATTTCAGCAAAATTTTTTATATTTTTCATGATTACATGTTTTAACATAATAATTTAAATATTACAGAAAATATGTTTGAAAAATATCAATGAAAGAAAAAATAGTTCAAATTTGAATATTTAAATTAAAAAATTATGCAATGAGCGACTGCAAAATATAAATTCCTTCGTATGTTAATGATTATAAAACAAGAAACAACATTAAATTCTGTTGCTTCTTCTTCTTTTCTGACGTAGAAACCGCTTACGCGGTTATAGCCGCGTTAACAACAGCCTATTCAACGGAGTGGAGATCGTTTTCTTCCTCTGCTTCGCCCGGCGGGTACAGCGTCGAATACTTTCAGAGCTGGAGTGTTTTCGTTCATTCGGATGACATGACCTAGCCAGCGTAGCCGCTGTCTTTTAATTCGCTGAACTATGTCAATGGCGTCGTATATCTCTCGTCTTTCCATACAAGCACTTGATTTCGATCGTTCAGTTTGTATGACAGTTATATGCTATAGCAGGCCAATATTGACAGCTCAGCAGCTGCTTTACGAGAAAAGATTGATTTCTCAAAAGCTGAGAGGCTTTTTCGCTTGTACCATATACAGACAACGGTAATTCGACTCCGCTCGTAATGCAGATCATTTCTCGTCTCATCTTTCTGAGTGTCGTCTCGTCTTTCTGAGTGTTACAAACATCATGGCAATCTTAGTATTCCCGGTTTAGGGCGTGCAAGATTTTTGGAAAATTAAACTTTCTGATGCTTTTTAAACAAAATTATTCTTTTAATGCAAGTTTCATTTTTAAGATCATTTCATTTATTTATTTAAAAAGTATAAAGTTGATAGAGTGTATACTATATTTCACTAAGAATTTTATAGGTTAAGCATTTTAATTTTAGCTTTTTATTAAAAATATTAAACATTTTGTTATTGGTATTCATTAACGATTTCTTCAAAAAACTTTAAAATATGATTTTGTCAAAACTTGAAGGTTTTTTCTGCGTTTTGATGCTGACAAGTTGCAAAAATATGAATGCTCGGTTACTTGCTTACCTATTTTTTTTTAAGTTTTTCAATAAATCACTTTTGTTTATAATTATATTTTTATTTCCATCAAGATCATACAATCAAGAAATCAAAAAGCAATAAAGTCACAATATAAATTAAAAATTAAGATATTTAAAAATTAAAAAAATGTGTGTATACAAAATTTAAAAAGTTATCGAAGCGTAAAAAAAATTAATTTAAAAATTAATACATTCGAAATAAACAAAATTTCAAAAAATATATAGTTTATATAGTTAAATGCAAAATATAACAAAATAAATGAAAAAGGTTTAGCACCATCATTTCTTCGATTTTCACTTTATTATTTTTTTCCTTGTCGTGCAAACACCCCACTTTCTTGAATGTTAATCGGTGAAATTCCTCAAAAATGCGTACCATTTGTTTGTCTACATATTTTGGTGACGATATTGCTGCCTGTTTTAAATAATTCATTAACCATTTTGGCAATGCAGATGGCTATAAAAAATCTACGCAGTTCATGAAATTTAGTTTAATCAATTCAATAGAGTCAACAACTCAACAAGTCCAAAAGATCAGACAAGAATGTGTGAAAAATCATGCGATGCGTAACAAAAAGTTATTTTTGGTATTGTTTTGCGCCAATATATTTGTTTACAAACAAAAGTGTGCCTTGCGCCAATTTGTATAAATATGTTATTATGTTTTTTGTCGTCAAAACAAAATTCGTAGTAAAAACGTAAAATAAAATACCTAAACAAAACATCCCAGA